ATTCCACAGACATTACGCACACACCATGCAGCTGATGTATCCTGTGTTCCATTCTGGGCCCTAGCAGTGGCCAACAAAACCTGGCAATGGAATCACTGTGCTTGTTACTGCATAATCACTGTAATACAGATGCGACTATAATGAAGAATAATTACTCACCGATTACTGAGTCTACAGTGTGACTTTTCTGGAATTTCTGGCAGCAAATTATCTGACTAAGTCCATAATTGAGGCCTGAAGAAACATTGCAATGCAAGCCCACATAATCTCTCCTGAGGCATGGATGTTCTTAAGCAGTTTTTATTTTTATACATTTTAATAATAAAATATAATAATAAAATAAAAGTTTAGAGCAACTGTAACTGGGATTCCATATGTGAAAAAGGGCTGTTATTACTGATGCCCTGTCTTCTAATGTCTTTGGTCAATTTTGCCACATCAAAAAACAATAAAAACAAAACAAATTTATCTCTGAAGCCCTGCATCTGTGTAAATCTTGAATGTAATCACATTAAGGTTTTATCAAGAATTACAAGAATTTCAAAAATTCTGTGTGTCTCTTTTTCAATTTAATTACCGTATTTTTCGGACCATAAGACGCACCTTTTCCTCCTCCAAAAGAGGGGAGAAAAAGTCACTGCGTCTTATGGTCCGAATATTGCTCTGCTCACATGCTTTAACCCTCTGGGGTCGAATGCATAGTTGGCGACGCAGCGTACTTCTCGCGTCTATTTCAGTTTATTTCTCGCTGAAATCTTAATGTAGAATCATGAAAAAACGCTGGCTAAATCCGTAATCTGTCTTCTTTTCAAAACGTCCATTGTCGGAAGTATTACAGTTTTTAAAATTAGGTTAAATCGGCAAAAAATTAAACTATGTCCCCTTACTTTGGTTTACCTGCATCGGGGGCGTGTAGTACCGCTGTCACCCGAAGATCGCTATTCACATTCTAAATAGCCGCATTAGCGCGTATTCAAATCTCATTCGCATGGTAATTTGGTGAACAACGCAACGGTGAAACACGATCCAAATACAGTACATCCCCATAAGCGCCATAAAAGGGGGGAGGGATGTGGCCAGGTGTCAATGGATCATTCATACACATGAAACTTTTTTGTTACTGAAGTGTCTCCTTGTTTCTTTGTACTTTTATTGTTTTTTACTGACTTTATTTGTTAATAACAGTGATAATGGTTCTTAATACTGCTGTTGACTACTGTTCACTGTACATGGTTGACGTAAAATATTGTAGGACATTATTTGGTTCAGAATCTTTTTTTTCTTCATTTCCCTCCCCTACAACTAGGTGCGTCTTATGGTCCGGTGCGTCTTATGGTCCGAAAAATACGGTAGATGTTATATTTTGGTTATTTTTGTTCTTGCCTGAAGATAACGCGACCACACAGCCAGAAGTGTGTGAATAGCCTACTGTTAAGACCGCTGTTCGGCGAACAAGCAGGAAGCGAGTAAGGACGAGGCAGGCAGACAAGCGAAAATCCAGGACATGGGTTTATCGGTTTGTCAGTCACGTGTCTGCACTGTCTGACACGCCCCCATTCGCCATTTTGAAGGTATTCGCGGACGCAAACACTAGGAAGAATTGAGAAGAAAGAGCAGAACGAGAAAATTCCTTACAGAGAAAAACTTACGAAGGACGCCAGGGATCAGTATTTGGCTAAATTGTCAACAATCAGCAATATAGATCCGTATGATCTCACATAAAAAAATGGAATTCCGACGCGACATTGTTGCCTCTAACTTCATCTCTGGATATAACAAACTACCTTGTTTATGGTATCAGCGCTTACACATATGAACAGTTCAAGAACTATAAATCTCTTGAAGCCCACGGACATTTCATCAATGGCTGGGTGTAGGATCTGTTCACATTTCGAACGCAGGACTGCGACAACACAATCGTCACTGCAAAGGTACGCTAACTTGTAATCAAGTTGCAAACAAATCTGTACAGCCTCGAACAAATTAGACTAAGGGGGGACATGGTCCAGGCATATTAGATTCTAACAGGTCTGGATGCAGCCAAATGGCTACTTCAATAAATTTCTTATGTTCTTATGTTCAAGTTAAGTTATTAGTAATTATATGATGAAGTTAACTGTAATCATGTAGACAGCCTTACAAATGCATAATAAATAATAATACATGGAATAATTTAACACCTCCTCTACCTGCCGTCCATATCCTTTTTTCCAAGTGGGAATCCGAAAAAATCTTATGTTGTGGTCCACCTTTCTGCCTTGTGATTTAGTATGACAGCCTTTCACACAGCACGAGTATCCCATCTTTCGAAGGATAAAGGCGGATGCAAACGCTTGCTCTTGAGTTATATACTGTACCTGCAAAATGGCGATTCGACCCAGAATACACTGCGACTTTAGCGAGTGTGACATCAACTGTCAAAGACCGATTGGGGAAACACAGGACAGACGGCAACTAAACATCAATGACTGATCTGGGGAAACAGACTTGAACGCGGACTGAAATACACAAGACAAGCAAAAAATAACAGGCAACAGGTGATCACAATTGGGAATTAACACGAGGTAATGAGGGGGGCGTGGCACACAGGAGTATCGGACGAGCAGGTCATGACAAATACTATGGATTTTATGGTAGTATATTTATCCACTAAAATCTTTGTAATAATGCATAATGTTTCTCCCAGTCCAACTTGGTCTTATTCTGCTAGACGTAGCACTTGTCTCAAACAAAGCTTCAACTAATTCTATGGCAGAAAATAAGGGGTTGTGGTCATCTAATTTTTAATACTGCACATGATAAAAAATCAATACAGGCACAGAAAAAATTAAGAGACCCCTCTATATTTTTATACAAATCTGCATTTTTAAATCCTGGTTTAATTGTGATTCTGTTGGCAGAAGGCTATGATATGCAGCAGGGTGCCTCCAGGTTCAAAATTTTCTAACACAACACACTGTAAAATGTGAAGCATAGGCACCGTCTTGGGGCTAGGCAGTATGGCCTAAAATTTGTGTCACATTATAATTTGAACAATGGACGTTTTTGCTTAAAATTTCAATATTAAAGCATTCTGCACAAATATAACTTTTTTTCAAATAAGACATACTTTATTAGTTGCCTTTGAACTTTGAAGCAGGACATTTTACACCACAGAACTATGTTAACCCTTTGAACCCTATCCATTTTTGAGTGTACATGCATTACATATACATGAGTTAGCCACATATGCTTTATGGTTTTGTGTTCAGGACATCCTGGACATGTCCGATGTGTCATAATTTGATGTGTAAATGCTGAGACAGGCTTTATCATCCTTCTTATGAGGAAAAACTGGTGGCACCTATTGAAATTTCTCCATTTTCAGCCTCATCTAAAATTTGCAGGCATTACAAATATTATCTTACAAATGTTGAGATTAGAGTCCCTGTGATGTGGGAATGCAGCCGTTTCATTGCGGACCTTTCTCTGCCTTAGTATTGTGAAGGAATAACATGGTTAGTGCCAGGTGGAAATTAATATAATTGATTTTGCATCCATTTGGTAACTTGTTGAAGTTATCTGATAGACAGCAATGTATGTTTTTATGTTTTATTAAGTGTTCCAATTACACAATGGGCGCATTCTATTTCAATTGTTTAAACGGAGCTCGACATATACAAACTTTTCTGAATACTGAGAAAATATCAAGTAACTGCCTAATAAACATAATGCTGCATTTTATTATTTATATTAGAACTCCAGCTCATTTTTGAGTGTGTTTCTATCCATTTATTTATTGGCTTATAATAAATAAAAAATAAATATTTTTTTCAGAAGGGTAGTACATGGATCATTGCGGAAGCAAATATGTGCTTCGTTTCCCATCTAATGTGAATGATATTGGTGTTTTACAGATTATTAGGAGTGCTTTTTCTTGAAAAATGTTTAAAATATATGCCTCATTGCGAACCGGATTACTCTGGAATATTTTAGTGCGCAACATTACATCTGGATGACCAGATCGAGTAACTCCTCTTGATTGCAAAGATTCTTGTCTGTGCATTATACCTATCCAGAGTTGTGAGCCTGAGATTAATGGGTTTTGTGTTTTTTGGGTTCTAAGGGTTAATAAACAGATGAACATTAAGCCATTGTGATAAATTTTGAAACATTTTGATGAGGGGTCTTGACTGATCTTGAAATAATACCTCAAGTCCTCTATGTCCAAGACCAAGACCGTGTCAAAGTAAATTTGGGAGTAGTAAAGTAACGCCCTGCAACCCTGTATGGGAATGGATAATATTCACCCATAAAACACTTTTACAGAACAAAATTCACTGTCTGCAGTAATGAACAGTAGTCTATATTCTGATGCAGCAAATACACTACACCAGCTTTGATATGAGAATCTTATTATGATTTCCATAACAATTGAAGATCAAATATCCATATTCCTGAACATTAGAAGCAGTACCCTGAGCTGAGGTGATGGACATACAGATTCTTGATGGTACTTCTAGGATTCTTTGTGGCATCCTAGAAGATGATGTTCCAACATCATATCTGCCTTGTATTTGGAAATATTCCTGGTAGTGTATGCGCTCAGAACAAGTATTAAGGTCGGCAACCCTTTTCAAACATTTCAGCCATTTCAAATGTTTCATACCTGGCTTAATAGTCCTACCTGATTTAAAAAAAATTCCTTGTGTTTGCATCTAAAGAGATGGTGTGTGATGAATATGTATGGTAAAGGCCAAAGTCCTACTTATATTGGGCTGGGCTGTCCCAAATCCGGTGTGCTTGGCAGAGCATTGAGAGAAAGGGTCCTTATTATCTCTTTATTATTCTTGTGTTAACAAAGAGGCCAATAATTTTTTCACACATGAAGATTACATGTTGAACTACCAGGATACACCAAACAAATGCAGGGAGCTCTGAGCTTTGTTGTATAATTTTTCACTCCCTGTGCATTATACTACATCCTGTAAAATGTTGTACTATTTTATCTGAATTTCCAGTTTGCAGAAAAGTTCAAGGAAGTAAAGGAGGCTGCACGCCTTGCTCGGGAAAAATCTCAAGACAAGATTGAGCTGACGAACGCTGCTCTGAACATTGCTGCGCCACAGGTAAGCTGCTGATCCAGATTCATGGTCCCAGAAGCCTTGAAGATAAAATAATGACCATGATCAAAGGTTCATTTGTCAGGTTAATTTGTCATTTAAAGTACTGAACTATATTTAAATCTGTTGCATTGGATATTTTCACTTATTCTGTCCATTATTTTATATGAAAATCACATGAAACTGAATCAAACAGGACAAGATGATTTAACTTGAGTGACATACTCCCAAAGCATCCCTTTAATCTGGGTAATGAGGAGTATAAAAACCACAAGAACATGAATGTGATGGGTCAGTGTATCTCAAAGGAAAGAAAAAGGGAACTAGGCCATATATAATCTCACAATATCTGTAATGTACATCTCCTCACTGTAAAGATGTTTTCAATTCTTATTGAGCAGAGGAATGACAAAAATATATATAATCATTATGTTTTCTCGTGTGTACACCCCAAAATTATACTAATATATTTTTATAAATTCTTTAACAAGACATTTATGATTTACAACTTGTTCTTTTACCTTGTTATACTCCTATGCTCCCAGTTCTCTCAGGTCAGTATAATGTCCATTTCTATCTGCTGTTACATTATGTATTGTAATCTAATATTCCATGACTTAAAACATGTAGCATTAGATGCATGCTGCTTGCTAAATACATGATGTTTAATATCTATACATAACTAGAGCAAATGCTAAATAAATCCTTTGTACTTTTACAAATAACTAATTAAGAATCATTTATAAAAGGATATCCATTAATATTTTCACTCCAACTGCAATAAATCCAGTTCAGATCCAATGCAAAGTGAATTATTTACCGGGACATCAGGTTCATCAATTTAAAATGTAACCTGAAAATCATAACTCCAATGGGCAGGTGAAGGTCAGAAATCAGCTCAGGTATACAAGATTCCAATTCCAAGACAGGGTCAAAATTCCACATGTAAATCAGTGCACCACAACAGGGCAACATAACCAGACACAACAACGGTTATGTGAAACAAGTACACTACTCCATAACAGTCTAAGAACACCAAGAGCCTTTAATTAATAAATATCCAGCTGTGTTCAGTTTTCAGGGGCTGCAGAGTGTGACCTAGCTCAGTGTAGCTGCAGGGAGTTCTGACTTAAACCTGGTGTAAGGGCAAGTTATATACTTAAATTATATACTGCATTTATATACAAACAACCCTGGGGCCCACAATCTAGGGGGCCCCCTTCTTATCTCGACTTGTTTTTTTTTAATTTTTTGTTTTTTTTTATACAAAACACATAGATCGAATGTCCACTCCATACCATTTATATAACAATTTTGCTTAAAATATTATCATCTACCATAATATAATTTTAAATTTGGTCGATCAATGTGTCAATGTGATACCCCCTTCCCCCATCTTAGTATTATCTTAGATTAGTAAGTTTTACCACTTGCATCCTGTGCTTTGATTACCATATTATTGATGTTCCATCATTTGTAATTCTATGTTGTTGTTCTTTCGGCTCCAAAAAAAGCTTGAATACCCCACTTAGGGGGCCCCCTACCCATGTCAGCTTAGGGGCCCCAGAGAAGTTAAACTAGCGTTGGTCTACATGATTTATAGTTCCAATTTGTCAAATCAACCTCAGACTGTGAAAGATTTAATATGCATGAAAATGTGCATTGTTGTGGTAAACCTGGAGCTAGACATACATCCAGTCACACAGAGAGGAAGATTTTATCCATAGCAATGTACAATTGAGAGAGCATGGTCAGATAGGGCCTTGCTCAAAGTCCCAACAGTGAAATCATCCTGTGAACTATAGGATTTGAACTGGTAACCAGTGTTGGGGAAGCTACTTTTAAATGGTAGTTTTTCAAGCTACAAGCTACTTAGGATTAAAAGTAGCTAAGCTATAACCAAGTGTCACGCCCCGCTCCGTCCGCTCCTCGTGTGTGCCACGCCCCCTCATTACCTCCTGTCGGACTCCTGATTGTCGTCACCTGTTCCCTATTTTGTTTGCCTTGTCTTATGTATTTAGTCCTAGTCTCAGTCAGTCTTCCCCAGATTAGTCATTATAGTGTCATGTACTGTTGGTGTAGTGTCCGTAGATGTCCGTATTTCCCCCAATAAACCCCGTTTACTCGTCTATCTGCCTGCTCTCGCCTGCTTCCACGGCTTGCTTGCCCCGCAACGTGACACCAAGCTACTGTTTTAATATAGTAGTTAGCTACACTACAATCTACAGAGAAAAAGTAGCTAACTTCATCAAAGCTATTTCAGCTGGTAATACTTGATAATTAATATAATATAATAATTAATATTAATTTTAACAATGTAATGTCAAGTCAGAATAAGGTTTCAAAAAAGTTTCTGTTGTAAACCAAGAGTACTTCACAATTGCTGTGTGAAAAATAGAAGCGTTACAACAAAAAAAAAAAAAGAAAAAAGGAAGAAAGAAAAAAATCTAGCCCGCTGAGCCACACAAAATACTTCATGAACAACTGAGGAAGCAGGACCGGCCAGTCTCAGGATGAATGTTGGGGTTAAGGGCTTTGCTCAACGGCCCAACTGTGACATCACTCCCTGCCCATGAAACTTGAACCGGCAACTTTTTTGTGGGCACAGTAGCCTAACTCACTGAGCCATACACCACCTCTCATTAACGATTTAAATTGGAGTGCATCAATCCCACCTTTTCAGTGCTCATCCAATCCCATCCATCCATTTTCCAAACCACTTATCCTTCTGGGTCACGGGGAAGTAACGGGCACGAGGCGGGGAACAACCCAGGACGGGGGGCCAGCCCATCACAGGGCACACTCACACACCATTCACTTACACATGCACACCTATGGGCAATTTTTTTTAGTAACTCCAATAAGCCTCAGCATGTCTTTGGACTGTGGGGGACTACTAGAAACATACAATCAAAGTAAAAAGTTTGTGAACCACTTCAAATTTTCTATATTTATGTCTAATTCCAGTATAAAACATGGTCATATCTTCACATAAGTCACAATGAACAAACACAGTCTCCTATAACTAAAGATACACATATTTTCAGAGAATGTTTGACCGTTTTGAATAAATCATTCAAACTGTGAAACTGAAGTTTGGAAAAAGTAAGTGAACCCTAAGCTATAGCACACCTGGAGTCCATTTAATGAAATGAGTTCTGAGGTGTAGCCTAGAATTACTTTGATTGATAAAAACACTGATATTTTTGAGTTTGACAAGAAGCATATCCAGATGAGAATCATGCCTCACACAAAAGAGCTCTCTGAAGAGCTATGATCAAGACTTGTTAATTTTCATAAGGCTGGAAAGGGTTACAAAGTCATCTAAAATATTTTAGATATTCGTCAGTCTACTGATAGACAGGTTGTCTACAAATGGAGAAAATTTGGTATTGTGACTACTCTGCCTAGAAGTTGGTGCCCCGCCAAGATGACCCCAAGAGCACAGCGCAAAGTCATCAATGAGGTAAAGAAGAACCCTAGATTGATAGCGAATAATTTGAGGAAGTCATTAGAACTAACATCTCTGTTCATGATTTAACAATACGCAACACATTAAACAAGAAAGGAGTCCAAGGCAGGACACCAAGAAGGAAGCCACTGCTGTCAAAAAAGAACATTGCTGCACGCCTGAAGTTTGTGAAAGAGCACTTGGACACTCCACAATGGTACTGGAAAAATGTTTTGTGGAGTGAACTATTTGGGAGGAACAAGCAGAACTTCATTTGGCGTAAAAAGGGCACTGCATATCAACATCAAAACATCATCCCTACAGTAAAGTATGCTGGAGGGATTTGGATCTGCTTTGCTATAACAGAGCCTGGACAGCTTGCCGTCACTAAGGGGAAAATGAATTCCCAAGTTTATCAACAAATTCTCCAGGATAATATGAGAGTGTCTGTCCATCAACTGAAGCACAATGGTTTCAGAAGAACAAAATCCGCTTTTTGGAGTGGCCCAGTCAGAGCCCAAATCTCAATCCTATTGGAATGTTGTAGAATGACTTGAAGAGAGCCATACACAGAAGACAACCAACCATTATGGAAGAGTTAAGGCAGTTCTGCAGGGAATAATGGGCTAAAATTGCCCCTGCATGATGTGCAGGTCTGATCTGCAGTTACAGGAAGCGCCTGGTTGAGGTCATTGCTGCCAAACGAGGGTCAACCAGTTATTAAATTCAAAGGTTCACTTACTTTTTCAACTAGCACTGTGAACGCTGAATGTGTCTGTATAATAAAGACATGAAATAATAGATTTTTTGTGTGTTATTGGCTTAAGCTCATTGTGTATATCAGTACCTTTGACTTAGATGAGGATCAGATTACTTTCTTGACTAATTCATACAGAGAACCAGATAATTCCAAAGGGTTCACATACTTTTTACTTTGACCGTACATAACATTCTGTTCCACCTCATTTGTACAGCTTGTTTTAAAAAATTTTGAAGCATTTGCAGTTCCATTTCAATATCCACCAAGCGAGTATACGTAAGTGGTAAATGCTTAAAATGCCTTGCAATTTTCTCCCACAGGCAACAGCATCGCTTACACTTTATTGACAGCAGCCCTTCATGTATCACAAGCTGTAGTGAGTGCTCAAAAGAGCCCAAGCTAGCAACTCCCAAATTATGCATTCCTTTTATCATATTACTTGCGTTGTCTTGCACAATTGGGATTTTCCACTAAACGCTACTTCCACCTCTCAAAACTTATGTTTTTACAAAGATAGCAAATCACTGTGCCACTAGCTGTTGTTTCAACCATACATACTTCCAGATTGCATATATGTTTGTTAATTTGCTTTGCAAGCATGCAAGTCACATTTACTATTGTCACATATCATTGTTATGCTCCTCCTACTGCAAAGGGTATGCACATGACCTCACATCATGTGGAAATCTTTGTGTCCACAGTCACTGAGTGGAAAAAAGACTGAGTGACAGTGTAGAATGATGCAAAAACATCTAAAATGGGAAATAGCAGATGCGCGATTGATTGTACAAATTGGTTTCACAAGAACTAGGAATTGCTGAAAATAAAATAAGTATAGGACATGGTTGGTTACACATGGCTTCAAGATTCAAAATTCAAAGCGTTTATTGTCATATGTACAATAGAAAAGTGTATTTCTCTGTGCAATGAAATTCTTACTTTGCTGTGCACACAAAAATGCTGAGGTATTTAATGAGGTATGGATGTCTGATGTCTAATTAGGTATGGATCAGTGCCAATACCAATCCCAAATATCGGGTTGGTGCAACCCTAATTTAAATATCTGACATTTATTTACTTAGGAGATGCCAGTGGCATCAGAAGGAGTTAGACATTCGGGAGGACCAAATCTGCCTGGTGGTAGAGGCTGGGCAGTGCAATGGGCACATACAGCTCTGGAAAAAATTAAGAGACCACACCAACATTTTCAGTTTCACTCATTTCTCAATTTATGGGTATGCTTCTGTATAAAATGCAGAAGGCAAGGTCAGCCAGTCCCTGGAGCAATTGGAGGTTAAGGGCCTTGCTCAAGGACCCAACAATGACCTCACATGGCTGATCAAAGAATTTAAACCTACAACCTTATGATCATGATCAGAGAGTACTACTCCACACTTCTCCCTGTAGAACTTGTAAATAATACTGAAATGCTTTATTAAAAGTGAATACTGTTCATTTACATACAAATATCCTTTCACAAATATAAAAATTATTCAGAAACAGTCAGAATAGTCTGAATATGATTCAACATTGCAGTGTTTTAATGAGCTTAATCTTGTTAATTAGCTTCATCTTTTCACAATGCTAGCTTGTAACATGCACCAAGTGTGACTTAAATGATTTGCTAGAAAAGCTTATAAAGTCAAGGGAAATGCTTGTAGGTATTAATCCTTCAAAATGCATTCCGGATTATCATCCTAATGGATGATAATTCTTTAAATGTGATAAAACACATTCGCCTATAGCAAAAAGTTCAAACAATTAATTATATAAAGTGTATATAATTATATATTTCACATGCATGAACCACTGGTCTAGATTACCCTATTAAGAATGGTTCTGTGTACAACACCGTACAGGACCTGTCTGAAGACTTGCAGTCACCACCAATGTGTATCAACGGCCCTGGAGAGGAGAAGCTATTTCGCAGTCAAAGTGCAGACATTACCTTGTCATCCGAGAAGGAACGAATCAAAAAGATGCTCTCTGAAGGGTAATCATTTTCCACTTGTGATTAGCTTGTTTTCCAAATTCAAAACCAATGCTCAATGTGTGTGTGTGTGTGTACACACAGCGTATATTTATACACACACACAGTGTATATATAATACATATGAAATTATATAAGTTATGTCGGGAGTGGCATGGTGGAGCAGTGGTTAGCACTGGTTGCTTCACACCTCTAAGACCAGCATTCGAGTATGTTTGTTCTCCCCATGTCATTGTGGGGTTTCCTCCAGGTACTCCGGTTTCCCCCCTAATCCAAAACCATGCTGAGGTTAATTAGAGTTACCAAATTCCCTGTAGGTGTCCATGTTAATGGTGTGTGAGTGTGTGTGCATGTATGTTTGTGCCCTACAATGGTGCCCCATTCTGGGTTATTCCTGGCCTTGCACCCATAGCTTAGGGGATAGGCTCTGGACCTCGCACAGGACATGCAATTATAATGAATGGATGGATAAGTTATGTTGATAAAAAAATTTTAATTAATTGTACAGTTACTTTAATGATGTTGTTCCAGCTTGTGTTATGTCCACCTTACAGATTATCACAATACACTAGGTTTTAACTGAGCCCTGAAAACTGGTCTAAAATTCCATTTATTATGAAATGAAACTCACTCATACTGTATATATACATAAACACACACACAAACACACACACACAGCACAAATTGGTATTTTGGTATGTGTGTTAAAAAGTTTACTATTCGTTAAATATCAAACATAAATGCAAAAAAAACTAATTTTGAAGACTGTTTAATATGCAGCAATGATCTTTGATTACTTTCAGATGTTTCAGGAATAACTCTATGCTCCAAAACTGTTGTGCAGGTTTAGTTCATCCCATCTTTGCCTGTTCTGCTGATAGCTGATATTGTCTCCTCTTTTCATTTGTCGTTTGCAGGTCAATCTGTGAGATTAGTTTGGAGGCAGAGCTGTTCACCTTGCAAGACAGCAATGCAAAGCTAGTAGCCGCACTGCATGAGGCCAATAACAATGTAGAGCAGTGGAAGAAGCAGCTGGCAGCCTACCAGGAAGAAACTGAGCGGCTGCGGGACCAGGTCAGCCACTCTCCTGAGCCTCTATCTGCCCAATAACTTTCTGCAGCACGATTTTCTTTACTCAGCATTTGTGTGCAATTGGGAAGAGTGGGAGAAATCAGTACACCTGGACTTACAATGAGGTGCCACCTTCAGTTCTACACAATTATGAAGGATTTCCAGTTTTAATAAACCAATTATACTGTGGGTATTGTAATACATGAAAAAAGGAAATCTGGGGTCCTTCGAGAATTAGCAGAAATTCTTGGGGCTAAAAATAAAATCTATTTAATGTCTTCTAATAGATATAATTACTATGTAAGTAGAGGGATAAGTATGTTTTGTGAAATCAGTATGACAATTTACATTTTGCTAAGTTCAGAAGCCACAGATACTACACTTTGCATCTTGTCACGAAATTGAATTTTTTACACTTTCTGACACTTAAAATCAGATTAAACAAAACACCTTGGTTCATGAATTTATCACTATAACTAATTAGATGGTATAACGTTTTGATCAAAATTAAAGTTGGGTAGGATAATAATATTTCTAAATATTTATTTTCATAAAACTGGAATCCATATCTGGAAAATGTATGGCTTACATTTCATAAGGAGGAATGACCAGGTGGCTGAAAGTGGTTCATGTCTCCTGGGGTGAAAGAGAGAAGGGTTTGTAGGGCAGCAATATCCTACTTACATTGTCCTAGTTTGAAGGAATGGAAAAATTACCACTGGGAGCTGCCAGATATTTATTTCATTTTTTTTAATCTCTTAGACATTTAAAAATAATTTCTCAAGGTTCACAAAGTCTTTTAAGTTGAAGTTAAACTAAAGAGATGCCCAATGTAGTTATATACCTTCCTCTCAGATATCAGATATTGAATCAGACATAAAATAATTTGGGCTGCAGAAAACATTGCACATAATGCCAACTGTGAATCTTTTCAGATGAAGTGTAAGATCATTAAAGCACAGTTAGGATTGCCTTTTTCAGTAACAGATTGCTGAAAGAAGAAAATGGCGCAATACTACAGGAAAGGATATTGAAATAGACATTAAGGCAGCAGCTGAACCAATGGAAGGTCTTGGGTGGCTGGCCCCTCCTGAAATCGGCTCAGCTAATTTTCATTGACTCTTACTGATGACTTATTTGCATAGTATATGTAATATAATCGTCTAGGATGGGGCTGGGAGATCTCTTAGAAAAATCAGTGATTAAAAAAATTTTGCAAATGTATGTTTTTGCAATTATTATTTTAGCTGGCAGATCTAGAAGCCCATGGAAGTAGCCACGGTCCAAGTGACTTATTAAAGGATGAGCTCACTCAGTCACTAGAGGAACTGGAAGCTCTCCTGAAGGCAAAAGATGAGGTAAAACGTCATATCTTACTTGTTACCGGAAAGCAGAGTTTGACACTTGCAACTAATGTGAGGTATTCATCTGTAGATATACATAAGGGGTCTCCAACTCCGGTCCTGGAGAATGACTACACAGTTGGTTTTCTATCCTAGCTGGCTTCTGATGAGCCATTCCTGTTCTCAGGTAAATACCAGGAACAGTTGTGGCTCATCAAAAGCCCAGGTAGTAGCTCTTCAGAACTGCAGTTGGAGTTCCCCAATTCCAGTCCTGGAGGGCCAGAATCCAGCAGGCTTTACAGATTTCCCTGCTCAAACATACCTACTGACCTTGGTAATTAGCTGATTAGGCTCAAACACACCTACTAAACCTGCTAATGTCATGGACCCAGGCGGTTCAGGCACAGGGGTGTGGTATAGTGCTGCTATAGGCTGGGAAAAAGGTAGACAACCCATTTGTGGCTCACAGAACGAATGGGGTTTATTAACAAAAACAGAAAAACTAGGAACACTACAAAACAAATGAACCATGAGGGGTAAAAAGCAAAAGGAGATAAACAAAGACCAATTACAAATGGGTCAGTGCAACAAGGGACAGGCAGGCAGGCCGAGTACAAATAACAGACATCAACAAATTCAACATCATACATACAATGACCCACTCAGGAACTGAACTCAGGCAGGAACTTAAATACAAAAACTGAACCGGCTAACAACAAGCAGGAGAGAGACAGAAAATTAACCAATCCAGGAGAGTGTAGGGCAACGAGTAATCAGACAAACACACAAGGACAGGCACAAGAACAGGCAACAGGTGAAACTAATAATTAACTCAAACTAAACAAGGAAACTAGGAACTGACAAAGAAACAAGGAAAATAGAATCTAACACTGGGGAAATAAGAAAGACAAGTAAAACACAACCAAGGCACTAAGCAAGAAACCAAAACAGAAAACAAACCACAAAATCACAGGAGCTAGAAAAAACTGATACCAATGAATCACTAGGGAACAAAATACAAAAACAGAGGAGGTGGGATTTGAACCCACACAACAGTGGGGGTTAAGTAGGTTGCCACAAGCTCAGCTCATTGAGCCATGCAGCCAACAGGGATCAAAGGAAACACTGCAGACTGACAACAGGGAGGACAGGATGGCCAGCGATACCTGCTGGCCAAATGGGGAGAAGACATAAGACTGGGACAAAACAGGTGCTGACCCTGACAGCTAATTAGCTGATTAAGATGTGTTTGAGCAGGGCAACCTGCCAAGCAGTGGTGGAATGTAACAAAGTATTTGTACTTCGTTACTGTACTTAAGTACAGATACGTAAAAATGTAAAGTAAAAATAATAATGCATACTTTTTATTTTACTCCATTACATTTTGCGGCAATTATCTGTACTTTCTACTCCACTGCATTTCTACAATTTATGCCGTTAGTTGTTACATTTTATGAAAACAATTAACTCAAAATCTTGCATGAAAAAATAGTCAGCCTATTGCGTTCTGGCATTGTTTGCCATTTCCTACCAATCAGGTGGTTTTATTAGCTCCAATGATGGCAGAGTGTGCGTCAATTAGCAGCACGAGCTGGTAGACTGGCTTGATTTCAAGAAGACGAGACATTCATCATGGACCCAGAGCGAATACACTGAATCTACTATTCTTTTACAAAATGGCACACCCCAGACATTGAGACAAACCATTGTGTGAGTACTTTTACTTAAAAAATACTTTAAAATAAATTTAAAAGTAAGTACTTAGTACTTTCACTTAAGTAAGATTGTTGATGTAGCACTTCTACTTTTACTTGAGTACATATTTTGCAGGATATTTGTACTTTTACTGAAGTACTAAGCTTCAGTACTTCCTCCACCACTGCTGCCAAGTGTGTTGGATTCTGGTCTTCCAGGACTGGAATTAGGGAACCCTGATAAAGAGTATATTACATCAGGTGCTTTACCACCAAAGTTGAGGAATTTGGTTCGAGGTTCTGAGTTCCTGGACTATCTGTACTGGGAAGTTTTATAGTTCCTGTGGCCTGTACTACGAAGCAGGGTTACTCGCTTATCTGGGTAACTTGTCGGATTTAAGGTACCACAGTATAAATGGACTTCATATTCGTTCACTTACATTTTGCCCAGACTACCTTAAATTCGACAAGTTACCCCAATAAGCCACTAACCCCGCTTCGTAGTACAGGCCCCAGGTCACTTTTGTGTGTTGCTGTCCCACTGCAAAACAGGAGCTGTGTTTATGCTAAAGAAGCATGGGTGATGCAAAATTACTTAGGTTTCACATGTTATTTTATACACAATGAAACTAAACAATGGAGGATGAAGAAATCAATTTGTTATTGTTCTATGAATATACTACAGATGCACAACATATTAGTTATCATATTGGTATCGGCCAATATTCTTTAAAAAATTAAGATATCGGTACTGGAACAATATCTTGGCCAATATTTAAACTTCATCAATATTCGAAGTTAGCAGCACCAGAGCTAAATACACTGCAAGTAAAATAATGACTGAGTTGCATGATCAGCCATTTTTCAATAGCGGAGGTTTGAGGGATTTTGCTGACTCCATTGTTAGAGGTCTCAAAGTACCATTGGTGACATGTTTATAATTCATTTTAATCTTGAAAGCAGGGCTGTTGGAACAACAGCATTGTATTCCATTGACATTGCTCTACCCATCTAATCCACACTCATTACACATTCACTAACCTGTACACTTTCTAGTATTATTGGATGGATTACCTGGAAATGTGAAAGTTAATAAATGTGGCTTAACCTGAACGATCCGAGTCCTAGTTGTGACATGTAACTCTGAAACTACACTTGTTCAATTACTGCACATCCCACCTACAAGGCAATTTGTAGAATTTTTTACCACCAATTTCTTCAATGATCCATACTGTGCCCAAGCATGTTTGACTTTCAAAGTCCAGTCCGTTTGACTAGTGTGATTGCTCATTGGTCCCTGCTTAGAGTGGTGGGCCAGAGCATAATTAGTAGGACTCAGGTATGGTATGGATGTGGTGTGATTGTTAACCGTGCCTGAGTACGGAACACAAACATGACGTAAATGATGCAACTGCCTCACGCATATGCACTTATACACTATATATGAACAAAGCCCGGAAAAAATGGATCTGGTAGGCTGTATAGATTGCATATTTTTTTTACAGATAAGTGTTTCTTAATATGCGTATTTCACTGTACTTATGTTCTTGTATATCTGCTTTATGTAATATTCCATCGCGAAGACCAATTCCAATACTCAAGAACATAACTACAGAGGATGTCGAACTTACCCCACCCCAAATTTCAAGGATGCATCAGTTGCATCCTTGCCAATGACACCAATAACGCCCATATTCCAAAAAGTGGATAGAAGTACTGTAAAAACCTTAGGTTCCTTTAAATCAGAGCTAGATAAGATTTTAATAACTCTGAGCTATTAGTTGAGTTCTCCCCAGCTTGATGGGCCAAATGGCCTCCTCCTGTTAGTAAATTTCTTATGTTCTTATAGGGTATTTTCGGCAATGGTTCAGATAAGCGCTCCGGAAAAAAAAAGGACACCACCACATATTTTTTAAGAATCCGGTTTAGACTTATGGCTAGCTCATGGGGTTACTCACTCAGCTGTATATTCAAAAGTTGTTTTTCAGGGAAAGGTCCTCAGTTCTTACTGTGATAAAGCTAGCCATTTCATTTGTCTGGTAATTAAAATGGCAAAACTCTGCTTTTGTTATTACTAATATATATGGCTATAACTGTTGGAGAGAAAACATAACCCTGAAGAGGGTAAGAACTTGTATGCTCCAGTTGTTATCTGAATTTACTAAGTTAGTTTTAATTTTTGGAGGAGATTTTAATGATATACTGGATGGTAGCATTGACAGATGGCCTGCACATGATTCAACCAGTACTAATTCTTATCTAAAGGAGTTTATGCAGGAGTCTGAGCAGATGTTTGGAGAATTACTCATCCACTTCAAAGATCTTTTACCTGGAACAATAGTACATTTACAAACCAGTCACAAATTGATTTTTGCTTACTTGTAATGAATTAGAAAATATTTCAACAAACATTATACCTTAACCATTTCCTGACCTCTGAGCCACTGACATCCATATACCCATATTGTTCTATTGCATATTGTTACGTCCCGGTCTAGGGACGGGGCGTAAACAGCGATCAGGTTTGGGAAACGGGGAACAGGGAGTCGGGAGGTAGAGGAGAAGGAGGTGAGGGAATAATTAACACCCAAGGCGATGATGATGGTAACACTGTGTATATTTGGGGAAAAGGTGAGCTTCAGGAGTGACACCGGCCAAAACAATAAACAAAACCCAGTGAATTAACTACCCGCGTACTGATGAACTTCCCTAACCCAAAAAAAAGTGAAACAAAAGACAAACGCTATCCTAACCCTCGCTAATCACAAAACAGGGACAAAAACGCTGT